TGTCAACCTAGGGATAGATATTTTTGAGGCCCTACAGTATGATCTTTCCTATATTGGAAAAACTCTACAACATCTTTGCAAATGTCTCTTTTTCCCCACAAATAGAATGAAACATTTCTTCAGCATGTGTTTTTACAGCATGCTTCACATTATGGCTACATGTTCCATCATTTGTGGGAACTTCTCATAAGAAAACGGATTTTTTTTAACCTACATCATCCACTTCTGAAATGGCTTGCCTCCGGAAACTCTATACACGAACAGTGCTCAGGTCTTTCATTCATAGGGTCACTATGAGTTGTCTACAACTCGATGGCACCTAACAACAACAACACTAAAATTCACTCACATTTACTCATTTTCACTGAATCAGAATCAACTCATCTTCTAGCATGTTTTCCGGATGCTTAAAGTCACATTCTGGAGGGTAATCGTTTGAACTTCCAAAGAGGTATTGTTTTTCCAGAGCAGCTATCTATGGATTATGCCACAAGAGATTCACAAGTGTACACTAAGAAATAATTATAGATACCAAATAATTAATTTTTTAAAATTGTATGTAGATATTCAAATTTTCAGAATACCTTAAGTTAAGAAAGTATTTGTTCAAGAGAAGAGCCCTAGCAGCATAGTCAGTTACATGTCGAACTGCTAACTTAAATGTCAGGGGTAATGTACCAACAAACAGTTCCAGAAGAGAAAGATGACACTTCTCTAAAGATTTAAAGACCAATGGAATTGGGATCAATTTGAGGACAGTGGTGTTGTAATGTGTTGTCCAGCCAGCAATAACTAACAACAACCATGTGAAGAAGAATAGATCAGAACCATGCCCTAACCTCTACCATCCTCAAGATCTCCAACAGGCTCTAGCCCAATTTCGTTTGTTCAGCGAGCTCTCAAAGTAAGGGGAAATGTTAAAGAAGAGCTACATAAACAGAGCACTAACTTCATGTTACTACTCAATGCAACAGAATGTCCATGACAACAGAGTTTTCTATAACATCATTTTTAACAGAAGAATACAAAAAGTAAGTATTCTTTATGCTCCACAAATAAATATTAGTGACTCATAAGAATGCATGCTTCTTAAGCAGCAGAGCCAATTTTGGAATGCAAAGTCCTTTAACATGAAAGTTCTTAATACTTATGCTGAGCAAGGACGTCAATGCATTTTATGGACAAAAATATTGATAAAAAGTACCTTATTCTTAAGTTCTAATCTTACAAACTTAATAAAGGAAGTAAAAACTATACATATGACCCATCAAATACTAACTTATTATTTACCATACTTTTACTCTGTTCTTTTAGAGAGAAATGTGAATTCTCTTAGTAAATTCTAGGGACAGCAGATGGGGTTAACAGAATAGAAATTCACCTTCAAATTTATTATTGAGGCAACTAGACCATAAACTAGGTTGGAAGATGATACTATTTGATTAATAGACAATGAAAATTTTAAGTATTAATGTAGAATTGTGTGGATAGTAATGAACTTAAGCAATCCATCAAATGACAACATCCTTAATAAAGAGAAAGAAACACACAAGACTAATAGGGGGAAAGGAGTACCTAAAATCAATAGAACGATAATTATTAACTCATTATAAATTTCTTCTGTTAAAAAAGTGAATTAAAACTTAAAATTACCACAGTTCACTGTCTAATTAAAATAATTTCTTTTTGAAGGTGGAGGAAGTTAAAAATATAACTTCACAGGTTTTGAATTAATATTTTAATCTCAAAAACCTAACTGGTTGTTCTTTAGCCTTAATTATATATATTGTTATTTTGGGACATCAAGTTAAACTTACTCCTACAGAGCCTTTACTAGGTTTTCAGAGGCTGTAATCATATGAGAAGAAACTATTCATCCTCCTCCAGAAAATAGCTGATAAGATCCAAACTGTCTGTCTTTGGGTTAGCAGCACAGTTCATTACTACTAAGCCACCAGTTGCCATTGTTGTTATGTGCCTTCAAACCACGTATAACACAGAAAAATCATATGAACTATAGATCTGAACCCTTTTCTATCCTGTGCCAACTTCACAATATCTGACACATTCAAGCCCACTGCTGCAGTCATTACATCAATCTACCCAGCTGAAGCTATTCCTTTCCTTCACCATACCTCCGTCTTTCCAAGCATGATATCCTTCTCCAAGGAATAATCCCTTCTAGCAACATGCCTAAAGTATTTGAGACAAAGTCTCATCATTGTTGCCTAAAAGAAGCATTCTGGTTACACCTTTTATATGACATGTATGTTCTTTTGTTAGTCCATGAGTTACTTAGTATTCTCCAACATCACAGAACAGAGGCATTGATTCTTCTCCTGTCATCCTTATTCACTGCCCAGTTCTCAACAGCATAACAGGTGACTGAAAAGACCATGGACTGAATCAGGCAAACATTAGTCCTCAAACAAGTATCACTGCCCCTCAAAATATGGAGAGGTCTCTGACTATAGACTTTCCCAGTGCAATACACTTCCTGATCTCCTGACTGCTGGTACCAAAAGGGTTGACTGTAGAGCCAAGCAAACTGAAGCTGTCCACAAACTCAATCTCTTCAACATCTATCATGATATTGCTAATCAGCCCAGTGGTGAGAGTTTGTTTTCTTGATGGTGAGCTTCAATCAACATTGAAGGCTTCAGTCCTTGGCTTTCTGAAGCAAGTACTTCAGGTCCTCCTCAGTTTCAGCAAGCAAGGTTGTGTCATCTGCATAATGCAGATTGTTGATGAGTCTACCTCCAATCCTGATGCCACACTTTGCCTAATAGAGCCCAACCTCCCGGATAATCTGTTCAGCATACAGATTGAAAATATATGGCTAGGGCACAGAGCCCAACCTCCCGGATAATCTGTTCAGCATATAGATTGAAAATATATGGCTAGGGCACATCCTTGACACACACCCTTCCTAATTTTGGCCATAAATGCTTGCAGTAACCAGACCTATAGGAGAGCAGCAGCCACAGCAGAGGAACAAATACCAGATATGAGACAGTGATTACCTTGGGAAGGCTACACCATGAAGCCTTTGTCCATGCTATGTAGAGGGCTCAGAGGTTGGTGGGAGGGTGTCACACCATAATTGGCAGGGCTAAGCTCTCTGTAACAATGGCCTAATGCTAAGAGGCTGAAGAACCTGTGAGGACACTTTGGAAGCTGTCTTGACTAAGAAATTTTACACTGTTGCCAAAAGAAATTGTATCCTGTTAACTTCCCTAATAAATTCTATAAATCTTAACTGTGGATTTGCATGTTCTATGAGCTACTGTAACATATTTTGGACTCAGCAGAGCAGTAGAATTGGTGTTGGAACCAGTGAAAAGATGTGTGAGAGTTTGGGGAATATGTTTGATCTTATGAAAACTTCATTTTGTGTATGCTGTTGATGAAGATAGTTCCCCTTTGTGAAGTAAGGAGAAGTCAGAAATGGCCATCTCCACATTGCGCTTTCTCTATTTATAGCCTCTCTTGTGGTTTGAATTAACCATTGACTTTGTGAGAGAAAGAGGAAATTTCTTCACATTAAATTAACAACAGCCTTTTGAAAATCTGCTGTCAGTCTTGAGTTAATTCTGACTCAACAGTAAAGAGATGAATTTTTGTCTGATGTGTATGTATGAGTGTGTCATTAGTTCACTATATTACAGCATTAAAATATTAATAAAATGCCCTCTCACTATCTTATTTCAGCAGAAATAAAATAATAATATCCTCACTCAGCTGATCTAAAAGTTTCAACAAGTGTTTCTAAAAGATAGTTCTTAAGTCACAAATATAAATCCAAAATCATTCAAACACACTCATTATACAATTTTCACAAAATTCAGTATGAAACAACATAAATAAAAATATTCAATTACAACAATATTTAAAATATTGCTAATCAGTTAAATCAAAATTTTCTCTATTTCTGGGATTTTTTTGCCTTTATATATCAGTATTTATACAGGAGATCCGATTTGGAATTGCATTTAAATAAACAAAATTTTTAGATTATGACCCCACTATTCTGTTCAAAAAGTAAGCTAAAAAGATAAGGCTCATTACGTTGCTATGTGTGTGTGCATAATATTTTATTACAATTGGTAAGAAAATAAAGAATAGATTGCATATACCAAGGAATTTAGGATGAAACTGATTAGTTTTGACAACTAGCCAAAGACAAGAATCCCTTATAAGTTCATTATGATGCTCATATAACTTGATTTAAGTCCCAATTTATTAAAGATAGCAACACAGAACTTGTCTGAATTAAATACATTGCACATTCCTTAAGCAGTAAAACTTTTCAAAACATTGAGAAAGTTCACAAATTCTGAAACTTTATATTTCTCAAACATCACAAGCCCAACAAAGATTCAACTGCAGAGAACATCTTAAATGCCAGTAAGAACACATGTGGAAAAATCACACTTCAGCTAAACTGCAAATTCATATTTGTTTTGAAATCCTCAGAAATTCTGCCCTGTATTTATTTCAATATTATGGACATGATCACAAATATACTGGTAAATTTTAAATTTCCTCATCCAAATTTAAATGTATCTGTCACATATTACAATTATATTCTATGTAGTAAATTCTGATTAGTACTGAGACTAAACCAGCAGCTTTTCATTATTCTTAATTATGTACATTTTATAAGAAAGTAAAAATGTAAGAAAGACCCTATACCTCTTAATTCCCAATATTCTCACTCTCCTTTTTGTCTATATCTATCAAGAGAGATGCTCATTTTACAGCAGTCTTAAATGGTTTATAATTCATCACCTTTTATTTCTCCTACCAGGTTTCCAATGATTTTAATGAGTATAATAATGATTTCACAGAGAACAGAAAAAAAATAAAGAAAACTTAAAGTGTGACTGATCAACAAGCTAGCACAGTAAAGTTCCAAATCAGCAAGTTAGATATTCAAAGGAGACAGCTCACCTGTGCTGACACATTAATCATTTAGTGAAGACAATCACAAAACGTACCTGCTTGTCCAGTGGTGATACTGACAGCCGCAAAAAGTCTCTGGGATCGGCTTAAGTCAGAAACTCCATTTACAGCTTCAACTTCAAAAGTATAGTTAGCGTGTGCTAGTAGGTCCATGACGGTGACATAGTTATCCTCTAATCCAGTCTGCTGGGGCATATATCCAATGTTACTCCCACAGGGAACACATTCACCCTGTTCCCAACTGCACCGTTTACACAATATTCTGTAGGTCACATCATTTCTCCCTCCATTGTCTGCAGGGGGACTCCATTCCAAGCTTACTGTGGTTTGGTTGATATTGAAAATGAGGTTCTGTGGTGCAGATGGAGGTCCTTTGGAAACAAAAAAATAAGGAAGAAAAGTAAACAACTAAGCAAGTTTAGAAATGTTGCTACATACTATTGAGTGAAAATCAATCCACAGCAGACCGTCCAGTGGGTTTTCAGAGAGTGTTAATCCTATGTGAGGAGACTGCCCATCTTTTTCCCAAGGAGTAACTGGTGAATTCAAACCACGAGTTTTTGGATTGGCAATGCAACTCCTTTTCACTAACCCACCAAAGCTCTTAACAGAGAAATAACATACAAGCAATGAAAGGATGTGTGGGCTGGAGGCACTAATCTAGTGACTCAACAATCAAAGAGAAAACTAGTTGAAATGCTTCCTTTCATATACACATTTCATTACCTTTACTAAAGAAGCCATATAAAAGCCTTCTGGAATTTACTTGGCAAGAGGCTTTATTTATTTTCCATTTAATATACAAAAACCAAAATAGGATAGCAACTGTCTTTGTACTTTTGCCATAGTCTTTAGTTGTTTTTCAGCCAAGCAATTAAAAAGAACAGTGAGCACACTTATAAAACCAGTTGTACAGTTCTTTTAAAATAGTTTTGCTTTAACTATACAACAGGGAATATATTTACTTATTCTTAATGTGCTCCAAAGTTATTTATAGTAGTGTCTGGGATTGGCTTTGGATTTGAGTCTCTCATTCATTAACTGACGCACCAAGACATTTGCTCTATTTAGTGGTGGAATTTTGATCCAGAGTCATTACTTTTTAATCCCCCATCAAATCCACAAAAGGTTCTAATAAATTTCACATTTTATTGTATGTGTAAAACTGTTTGGTAAACTGTATCTTGATTTTTAAAACATGAAAATTGCACTTAAGATGACTTAAGGTATAGTTCTATAATAGTATCATTTAAACTTATCTTTTGATGGAAAAATTTAAGAAAAATTAAGAATGTATTCATGAACACTATCTTAAAGGTTTCACTATGTTAGTGGTGAGTAGAAAAGGAATTAAAGTCCTTATTTCCTTTCATATTCCTAAGTACTTACTTGTGCAAGCAACATATGGAGGATCAGAAGGAGCTCTATAATACCCATCTTCACATTCACATCTTGAGGAGCCTTCTTTATCAGAAAAGCTGTGAGTGGGGCAACGGGAGCACTGGAGATCTTGAGAGGAAGATTTGTAGAACCCACGGCCACAGGCTATAAAAGGCAAAAATAAAAACACTGAAAATAGGAACATGAGAGGAAACAGAGCGTCACCATTTTTATTTTAGTAATATTGAGCAAAGAATAAAACATTAAAATATGAGAAGGAATGTCTTATAATAAAATAATTATTTTGGTTAATATAAAAAAATTATGATGCCCTTGTTTTTAAAAATAAAAGGTGGGGGAAATACAGCCACATACACTTGTACCACTAGTAGACATCTAAAGGATCCCTGATGGGGTACTGGTAATAAATGGAGCTCCAAACGAAAAGCAATTCAAACTACCAGCTGCCACTTGAGAGAGTGATGGGCAATGTCCTGTAAAGATTTCCAGCCTCAAACACCATGAGGAAGGCTGCTATGGGTTAAAACCTACTGGAAGACAGTGGGTTGAATTATGTGACTTTGACTCATGATAGTTAAATGAGAGTATCTTTGATTAAAATAAGATTAATTTGTTTATTGGACATAAACAGTAAACTTCATAGTTATATTTTCCCAATTTAAGATAGCTGTAAATTAAGTTTTCATTTAGTTCTATTAAAATACTAATATAATTTTAAGTACTAGCCTAAATATAAGGCTGCATAAAAATTCTACTTGAAAATGATAAAAATATATCTTTCCAAGTTTTAAGTAAACTTCAAGTTATAATTTCTACCAATTTAATCTGCAAGATAGGCTGTTTTTCACCAAGACAGTTTCCCTGTTACTAAAAATAGTGAGATCCCAAGGGATTGCTGAACCACCCACCAAGAAAAGCCATGAACTGTAAATAGATGTTAATGCTTTCTCTCCTCTTCCACAACAGGCAAGAAGCCTACTCAAACTTCCATAGCACTATTCTCACAAATGAACAAGCATGTGGAGAGTATGTTATTGTCTATTCAAGTTGCCCTTACTTTGTTAAGAGTCTACACATTAACACGAGTTGAGCTGAGTCCAACTTAGAGTGCAACTCAATCAGGTTTCCCCATTTTCAGCTATAAATCTTTTTGAAAAGATATTACCCGTATTTCTCCAGGAGAGCCACTAGCAACTTTTGGTTAGCAGTCCAACTCATAATGCACTTATGCAACCTTTGCTCCTACTTAGATTCTGTTGTTGATGTTATTATGAGCTGTCAAACCAACTACAAATCATAGCAATCCTATAAACAAAGGCTCTGAATCTTGCCCTATCTTGAGTGAATCTCATCATCTCTGATACATTTAACCCACTGCCACAGTCACTGTGTCAATATTTGCTATTAAATTACTTACCCATTCACTCACTCACTGTTGAGATAGAACTAACTCATAGTTGACCTTCCAAAGGGTTTTCAAAGGCTATAATTAGTATGCATGGGATGAGAAGGCCCATCTTTCTCTCACAGAGAAGCTTGTACATATAACCTTGCCCTACCCTATCGGTGCCACCCTCATTATCTCTGACAGACTAGAACCTATTGTTGAAGTCACCATGTCAATCCATCTCATTTGGGGGTCTTCCTTTTCTTTTCTGACCTTTCATCTTTCCAAGCACGATGTCCCTTTCCAAAGAATAAATTCTCTTAGCTACATGTTCAAAGTATGAAAGATGAAACTTTGCTATTATAGAGCACTCTGATTGTACTTTTTTTCAAGCCATGTCTGTTTGTTCCTTTGGAATGTCATGGGATATTCAGTATTCTTCAGCAACACACAATTCAAAGTTGTCCATTCTCCTTCTGTCATCCTTATTCCCTGTCCAGCCCTCTTATGTATTGCAGGTGACTAAGAAAGCCATGGCCTTAATCAGTTGAACCTTAGTCTTCAAACACATCATTGCTCTTCAGTATTATGGAGAGGTTCCTGGTAGAGGAATTGTCTGATAAATATGTCTCCTGATTTCCTGACTTTTGTTAACAAGGGTGTTGATTGTCATTCCAAGCAAAATGAAGTCAATAACAGCTTCAATATTTTCTCCATCTATCATAATATACACAACCTTACTTGCTGAAACTGAGCAGGACCTGAAATGCTTGCTGCAGAAGGTCAAGGACTATCACCTTAAGCATAAACTGAACCTCAATATCAAGAAGACAAAGATCCTCACCACTGAGCCAACTAGCAGCACCATGATAGATGGAGAAGAGATTGAGGTTCTCAACAGTTACAGCTTGTTCAGCTCCACAATCAACATCCTTGGCACTAGAAGTCAGAAAATCAAAAGACGAATATCACTGAGAAAAATCTGCTGTCAGGGCTCTCCCAGAGTACTGAGAAGCAATGATGTCAGTCTAGAAACTAAGGTGCGCTTGATCTAGGCATTTGTCTTTGCAATTACTTACTATGCAACAGAGAGCTGGACACTAAGGATGACAGAAGAATCAATGTCTTTGAGTTGTGGTGCTTGAGAAGTATCTTGAACATACCATGAACCATCAAGAAAAGCAATGTCTGTCTTGGAGAGGGTGAAACCAAGTTTCCCCTTGGAGGCTAGGATTTTGGAGCTCCATCTCACATACTTCAGGCACATGGACAAGTGGGACTAGTTCTTGGAGAAGAACATCATGCTTGGAAGAGTAAAGGGACAGCGCAGGAGAGGAAGACTGACAAGACGGATTGAATCAGTAACTAAGGCAATGAAGGTAGGTGTGTCAGAGTCAGTGAGACTGGCTCAGGATAGGGCAGAATACAGAGCTGTTGTATATAAGGTTGCTATTAGTTACATGTAACTTGACAAAACATAGCAACAACAACAATCACAATACAGAAGGACATCATGCTTGGAAAGGTAGAAGATGAACACAGAAGACCATGTATGAGATGAATTGGCACAATGACTGTGGCAATGGGGTCTGAAATAGTGAGGTTGGCTCAGGACAGGACAAGGTTTAGAACCATTGTTCATCAGGTTGTTGTGAATCATAACTGACTCAATCGCATATAAAAAACATATGCATTTCTTTTTCTTTAGCAATTTAAGTTTTCATTATTTCAACAGGTTTTTTTATTAAATTATAGCATGAATTGTCCTCAAACCTCAGACAATCACAAAGATTTCATTATTTGATAGTATTATACATTGAATACATTCCATGTACTCTCAATATTAAGGGTATGAATATTCATTTACAATGATGATAAAGTATAATAACAATTAATACACCATATTTATTAATACTATCAGGATATATTTATCATGAATTCAGTTTTAACTTTCCGTTTCTTAGTTGCAATTTTCTATTCATGTTCTCAACTACGGTGTTCTACAGAAATTCAAACACATATTTACTCCTGGGCAGAAAAAGTTCAACAAGTCTACATTTTTGAAATTATGAGAAAAATGTTGAGTCTTTGTTCTCATGCTGCATATTTAAATCATAATACTGATATAGTTGTAATTTCAAAAATCTTATTTTGAGTTTCACACAAAAGATGTATATTCTAGACTGGCTGGATTCTTCACTTAAATATTATTTTGCAATAAATAAAGCATTATATAGGGAGCTCTTGTGGCCTAGCGGTAAGAAGCTGTACTGAAATCCCGAAGACATGTGTTTCAAATCCACCAGCTGCTCTGCAGGATAAGAGGAACATTCTCCTCCTGTTTATTTAGAGCCTCTGAAAAGCTGCTGGAAGGTCAACTATGATCTAGCTCCAACTCGACAGCACGCAACAACAAAGCACTATCTGGATAGATAGAAATTTAAGCAATAACCATTTGTTGAAATATGCTTCACTACTGCTCTCAGAAAGAAGCCTTAATAGTATAGTGCATTATGTATTGGACTGTTAGAAGTAAGGTCTATAGTTCAAATACACCAGCTGCCTCCATACAAAAAAAGATAGGTGATAATATCTTATTAGGATTTACAACCTTAAAAAGCAAATGGAGGATTATTAGGAGCCAAAATCTACTCACTGTTGTGAGTTTTATTTTTGTTGTCTTCAGAAGCTAGTTGGCTATGTTGGATTATGCAATTTACAAACATAGAAAGCATTTTTCAGTAGATCTGACAATGAATTTCAAACTATCTTCACTTGTTCTTAGCTGTTACCATGACTCAACACCACAATGAGAACAATGAGACTGATTACAAAACTTAACAGAAGTATAATCCTTTAAAGCATTTCTCAAAACACTATCTTGTTACCTAAAAGAATGGTTAATTGGTAGGTTAAAGGATTTAGCATGGAATTCTCACTATGAAAATTCTTTTTTTTTTATGAACACTAGGACTGTTTAAAATATTCAAAGTATTTTCATCTATGTATTATATGCAACTCAAAAAGTATAGCTAGACTTTAGTACTTTACAATCATCTTACAGACAGCAGCCCACACAACTGAAAATATGATGCTTTACTCATAACCATTTAAAGTAAAAAGAGAAAGATGTGTTCAGAGAGAGAGAGATACATCCCAACAATCTTTAGTGGCATTATGTATTTATGTGTTTTTACTTGCATTTAAATGAAGGATAAGTTTCTGAACAGAAAGATATAAAGGACACAATTGCAATTAGATTTTCTTTCTACTAAGAAAAACTTTCAGGAAGTTCTGGTGGTCTGTCGCTGTTGAGTTCCATTGAGTTGGATCTGATCCATAGCAGTAAATCTCATGGGAGGAGACTGTCCACCTTTCTCTGGAGGGAGCAGCTGATGCATTCAAACCATATACCTTTGAATTGACAGTGCAATTACTTCCTAGTAAACAGGAAATTGTGCTACCAACCCAAAGGTCAGAATTTCAAATCTATGTGCCTCTGAAAAATATGCTGCAGGGTCAGTCATGAGTTGATTCCGATTCAAAGCAAATAACAAGATTTCCAGCATTAAAATGAAGCTAACAACCAAATAAAATACTTTTGAATTCTAAATCTCTCATTGTAAACAGAATCACTGACAAAAGGATCATATACACTTAGCACACAAAGAGGTGTATTAATCACCTAATAGGACTTATAGAATATATATATTATGTCTACTGTAGAAATAATTCAAACTTTTATCACTTTAATTTC